TGTGTAGTCTCCTCCCACATTATACTAGCGTTGGTCTGTGTGAGCAATAGAATACGGCAAAAGGGGTGGTATGTTATTTCCAAGATTAGGTTATAAAAGATTGTGATTTCTTTCTTAAGTTGTCTTGGTCACTCCCTCTGGGGAAAGCCATGTTGTGAGCAGCCCTGTGGAGAGGTCAAGAGAAAGGGAACTGAAGCTTCCTACTGAGAGCCCCCTGAGTGAGCTTGAAAGCAACTCAAATTGAAGCACGTTCTACAAAATAACTGGCCTGTAACCTTCAAAATTGCCAAGGTCATAAAAAACAACACACGACTAAGGAACTCATTAGACAAAAGGAAACTAAAGAAACATGACAAATGCAACAGAATGCTGAACTAGATTTTGCTATAAAGAACATTATTGGGGGGCGCCTGGGTGGCTCAGTCGTTACGCGTCTGCCTTCGGCTCAGGGCATGATCCCGGGGTCCTGGGATCGAGCCCCGCATCGGGCTCCCTGCTCCGCGGGAAGCCTGCTTCTCCCTCTCCCACTCCCCCTGCTTGTGTTCCCTCTCTCGCTGTGTCTCTCTCTGTCAAATAAATAAAAAATCTTTAAAAAAAAAAACAAAACATGATTGGGACATTTGATGAAATAAATGGGGTCTGAAGATTAAATAGTAGGAATATATCTGTATTAATTTCTTGATTTTGATGGTTACATTGTTATGTAGGAAAATATCCTAATTTTTTTTTTTTAAGATTTTATTTATTTGACAGAGAGAGACACAGCGAGAGAGGGAACACAAGCAGGGGGAGTGGGAGAGAGAGAAGCAGGCCTCCTGCCGAGCAGGGAGCCCAGTGCGGGGCTCGATCCCAGGACCCAAGGATCGTGACCTGAGCCGAAGGCAGACACTTAACGGCTGAGCCACCCAAGCGCCCCGAAAATATCCTAATTTATAGAAAATATACAACAAAATATCGTGAGTTGATGAGTCATCAGGTTGGCAACTTATAAACGGTTCAGGAAAAGTAGTTCTTTGAACTTTACTTAAAAATTTTCTATAAGGTTAACGATTATTTCAAAAATTTTAAGAGCTACATAAAGGAGAACAATATTCTTACACATGTTATCTGGTATAGCTGTGCATTGATTCTGTTTTTTATTTTTTATTTTTTGAGAATGCACACATGATGGGGGGGCAGTTGGGGAGAGGGAGAGAGCTAATCTTAGGCTCCACGCCCAGTTCGCCCAGTTCAGAGCTCACCCAGGAGGCTCCATCTCACACCCCTGAGATCATGACCTGAGCTAAAATCAAGAGTCAAACACTTAACCAATTAAGCCACCCAGATGGCACTGCATTGATTTCTATTGTATAAATACCTACAAGTGGAATTGCTGAATCATAGAGTGTGCATCTCTTCAACTATAGTAAATATTTTTCAAAATGGTTGTACCAGTTTGAGTTCATCCCCACAATGGATGTGTGTTCTCTTGCTTTGTATTCTTGCTAACATTTGCTATTGCCAGTTTTTAATTTCAGTCTTTCTGGTATGTGATAGGTAGTACCTTCAGAGTTTTTTGTTTTGTTTTGTTTTAAATTTATTTATTTGAGAGAGAGAGAGAGCACTCATGCAAGAGTGGGAGGGGCAGAGGGAGAGGGAGAGAGATTCTCAAGCAAACTACGCAGTGAGCTCACAGACTGACTCAGGGCTTGATCTCACGACTCTGAGATCACGATCTGAGCCAAAACCAAGAGTTGGATGCTTAGCTGACTAAGCCACCCAAATGCCCCTCTTCAGGGGTTTTAATATGCTTTTCTTTGATTAGTAAAAAACCTTTTTATATATTTAGTGTTAACTTGTGTTTCCCAGGCCCATTTTTGTCCAGTCTTTCCATTTTCCATTTTGTCTTATTTTTTTATGATCCATCATTTTCTTATTGATTTGTAATATCTTCTCCAACCTCTTGGCTTCCCTTCTTACTCTCTTCATAGTGTATTTTGATGAAGAGCAATTCTTTCTCTTTCTTTCTTTCTTTCTGAGAGAGAGAGAGAGAATCCTTTTTTTTTAATATTTTCTTTTTTTTTTTTAAGATTTTATTTATTTATTTGAGACAGAGAGCATGAGAGGGAAGAGGGTCAGAGGGAGAAGCAGACTCCCCGCCGAGCAGGGAGCCCGATGCGGGACTCGATCCCAGGACTCCAGGATCATGACCTGAGCCAAAGGCAGCCGCCCAACCAACTGAGCCACCCAGGCGCCCGAGAGAGAGAATGCTAAGCAGGCTCCATGCCAAGTGCAGAGCCTGACACGGGGCTCAATCTCAAAACCCTAAGATCATAACCTGAGCTGAAATCAAGAGCCAGATACTTAACCAACTGAACTACCCAGGTGCCTTGATAAAAAGAAATTCTTAATTTTAGCATAGTTTAACTTATCAGTCTTTTTCTTTATGATTATTAGTATTTTGTTTAAGAATTCTTAAGTCGGGCGCCTGGGTGGCTCAGTTGGTTAAGCGACTGCCTTCAGCTCAGGTCATGATCCTGGAGTCCCTGCATCGAGTCCCACATCAGGCTCCCTGCTCGGCGGGGAGTCTGCTTCTCCCTCTGACCCTACCCCCTCTCATGTGTTCTCTCTCATTCTCTCTCTCTCAAATAAATAAATAAAATCTTAAAAAAAAAAAAAAAGAATCTGTTTCTAAAAAAAAAAAAAAGAATTCTTAAGTCAAATATGTCACTTTTTTTTTTTTTTTTAAGATTTTATTTTTAAGCAATCTGTACACCCAGTGTCGGGCTCAAACCCACAACTCTTAGATCAAGAGTCACATGCTCCACCCACTGAACCAGCCAGGGGCCCCTGTCACTTTTTTTTTTAAGTTTATTTATTTTTAAGTGATGTCTGCACCCAACATGGGGCTGAAACTCAGAACCTCAAGATCATGCTCTTCCGACTGAGTTCAGCCAGGCACCCCATCATGTCACTTTTTTTATACCACCTTCTAAAACATTTATTACTTGAGCAGTCTGTAATCGATGTTTGCATATGGTGGAGAGTAGAGGTTTTCTTTTTTTAATTAAGATTTATTTATTTACTTGAGAGAGAGACAGTACGAGCAGGGGGAGGGGCAGAAGGAGAGAGAATCCTCAAGCCGACTCTCCACTGAGTGCGGAGCCCACTGCAGGGTTCGACCCTGAGATCATGACCTGAGCAGAAACCAAGAGCCGGACACTCAACCGAGCCACCCAGGTGCCTCAAGAGTAGAGTTTAAGTCTCATTTTTTCCATATGCATAATCAGTTGTCCCTGCACCATTAATAATATGTCCTTTCTCCCACTGCTCTCTGGTGCCATAGTTGTCATAAATCAAGTGTTCATATATACATTAGTCTATTTCTGGACATTCTTTTCTGTTCATTGGTTTGTGTATCTTTGCTCCAATTTCACATTCTTAATTGTTATAGCTTTACCATAAGTCAGTGTCTTTTAATCCAGGGCTTTCCCACTCATTCCTTTACAAGGGCATTTTGGCTATTCTTGGCCTTTTGAATTTCCATATACATTTTAGAATAAGTTTGTTAACAGAACAAACAAAAACTTGTTTGGATTTTGATTGACATTGCTTTGAATCTATAGACAGTTTGTGGAGAATGGACATTTTTACATTATTGGTTTTCCCAGTCTATGAACATGGTATATTTTTCAATGTGGCTACATACTTAGATGTTTAATTTCTCTGAGTAGTTTATATTGTGCATAGAAATCTAGTATGTATTTTCTTTGATGTTTTTCTAGGTATTTGATATTTTTCAGGAAATTATAAAATATCACCTTTTAAAATTTCATTTTAAATGTTCTCATTATATAGAAATTCTATTGATTTTTATGTGTTTACCTTATATCTAATACAGAGCTCAGCAAACAGTCATCTACTGAATCCTACTGAATCCTACTTTCTGATTGTTCTTGTGGGCTTGCCAGTTAAGGATGTTAATTACATGTGTATATATATGATTAATTTGATGATAGGAAACATGAACTTTAACCTCAAATGAGTGGAATGTTATCTTCTACAAAAGAATTTCATCCTTTAAATCTCTTTTATGTGAAATATTTTTGTTAATAAAATATCTGGAATTGTGTTTTCTCTCTTGTCATGTCAGTACCTACATAATATCCTCAATTTTGCCTCCTGATCAGCAAAGCCTGAAACTTTTACTATCTGATTTACAGAGTTTGCCCTCCCCAATCTAAAATCTTGCTGAACTTACGAATTCTAATTATTTCAAAATATTTTTGTCTGTAGATTATTTTGGATTTGCCATGTACATAATAAGTCATCAGTGAGGAATGACCATTTTGTTTTTTCCTTTCCAATTCTTTCATCTGTTTGTCTTTACTTACTGCATCTGAATCCAATTTCAGGGATGGAGGGATTGAGATTTTTCTTAGTCTCCTAGATGACTAAAAGCTGGGCTGTATTCCATATACAGTTGGTTTATTCTTAGGGTATAACTCTTCAGAGACCTAACTCTGGATACATACTTTGTCTCCCTAACTTGTTGTAAGTGAGGGTTACCCTGTTGAGTTGGGCAAACACTCCCAGGGCAAGAATTGACTTAAATACAGAGCTGACTACTCTGGATTTCCATTTTCTTCCGTATCTTGGTTTGGTTGTTCTTCACTCTATTGTTAGTTCTTTGATGCCTCAAGCAGATTCTTAAAAACGTTTTGACTATTTTTTCTATTTCTGAGCTGACGAGTTGGTCTTAGTTACCTAGTCTGCCGTTACTGGAATGGAATTAAGGAATGAAGATTTGAACTCAGTTCGGTCTAACTCCCAAGGTCCATGCTCTTGACTACTTACTATATTGCCTGTGACTAAATCTAACATAGTAAACAATTTAAAGTGTAAAATTATGTTTATTTTTGACTTAAAAATGTTCATATTGTTTATGCTTTTCAGGGTAGAAAAGGTCAAGTCAAAATTTTGAGGCCTGTATTCTTTTTTTTTTTCTTTTTGCTCTGTAGTGAAGCAAATAAACAACATGTAAGATGTCAGAAATGCTTGGAATTTGGACATTGGACTTATGAATGCACAGGAAAAAGGAAATACCTACACAGGCCTTCAAGAACAGCAGAACTAAAGAAAGCTTTAAAAGAAAAAGAAAACAGATTATTATTATTACAACAAAGGTATGTTGACCTATGGTATCCAAAGGAGTATTTTTTATTGATGGACTTTATTAAGCAACTAAAGGTATCATGGTGGTTATCCGGATTCCGATTATAATAATAGCTAATGTTTAATGAGTGCTTCCCATGTGCCAGGCACTGTATTAAGCTCTTTACAAGTATTAGCTTATTTAACCATCACCTCTGTACCATTAAGGTAGGTATTATTCTCCCCATTTTACATGTGAAGAAACTGGAGCCTGGAGAAGTTGAGTTACTTGTCAGTGTCACCCAGCCAGTAAGTGGAAAGATTAAGTGTTGAACCAGCCAGTCCATGCTCTTAATCACTTTGCTTTGTTGACTCAGCTGCCAGTGAAATGGCAGCAGAATACTACGAGGTAGATGATATGAGCTGTCAGTCGTAAAGATAAAATGGCCAGTGATTTTACCAGCAAAATGAGTTTATTGGGGAATAGCAGAGGACTTGCAATCCAGGACAAGCAAACTATGGCAAACCGTAGGCAAGTCCAGAGAACAAAGGACAGGAGCTTGCTTTTATCGAGGGAAAGAGGAAATTGGGAAGGGCTGTGTTAAAGAAAAGTCCACTGGAGGAGAGTGAGGGTTCAAGCTGCTCATTGGACAACTGGGGCAGTTGCTGTTGTGAGGCAAGAAGAAAAGTTTCCTTCCTCCTGCTGGGATAGTCAGGTAAGCTTCTTCCTATTGAGGAACAAGGTGCTGGTCTCTGTGTAGGGGTCTGCAATTGATGATGAGTGGCAGTGTGTGGAAGCTCCCCCTTCGGGGTTTCCCAAGTCCATTTTAGATGCAGTTCCCTTTATTTTCTCAGAGTTGATATGGAAAGATACCCGAAATAAGTATCCAAGATACTTGGACTATAAACAAGGTACAGAACAGTATATATAATATGCTATCATTTATGTTAAAAAAGAAGAAAAGGGGGCGCCTGGGTGGCTCAGTCGTTAAGCGTCTGCCTTCGGTTCAGGTCATGATCCCAGGGTCCTAGGATCGAGCCCCGCATCGGGCTCCCTGCTCAGCGGGAAGCCTGCTTCTCCCTCTCCCACTCCCCCTGCTTGTGTTCCCTCTCTCACCGTGTCTGTCTCTGTCAAATAAATAAATAAAATCTTAAAAAAAAAAAAAAAAAGAATGTCACAAACAGGGGCGCCTGGGTGGCTCAGTGGTTAAGCGTCTGCCTTTAGCTCAGATCATGATCCCAGGGTCCTGGGATCGAGCCCCGCATCGGGCTCCCTGCTCTGCGGGAAGCCTTCTTCTCCCTCTCCTACTCCCCCCACTTGTGTTCCCTCTCTCACCGTGTCTGTCTCTGTCAAATAAATAAATAAAATCTTTAGAAAAAACTAAAAAATAAAAAAGAAGAAAAGGAATAATGGAATTTTTTTGGAAACAGAAATGATCCATAATAGTGGCTCCTTTCTAGGAGAACTGGGTCGGAGAGTAACTGGAAATTTGTTATTTACTCTTTTGTGTCTTTTGAATAAAGTCTTTTTTTTTTTTTTAAGATTTTATTTTTTTATTTTTTTAAAAGATTTTATTTATTTATTCATGAGAGACAGGGAGAGAGACAGGCAGAGGCAGAGGGAGAAGCAGGCTCCCTGCTGAGCAGGGAGCCCGATGCGGGACTTGATCCCAGGGCCCTGGGATCATGACCTGAGCCGAAAGCAGACGCTTAACCATCTGAGCCACCCAGGCGCCCTTAAGATTTTATTTATTTGTCCAAGGGAGAGAGAGAGAGAACACACAAGCAGGGGGAGGGAGAAGCAGGCTCCCTGCTGAGCAAGGACCCAGATGTGGGACTTGATCCCAGGCCCCGGGATTATGACCTGAGCCGAAGGCAGATGCTTAACTGACTGAGCCACCCAGGCATCCCTTGAATAAAGCTTTTAAAATTGCTATGAATTAGGTAAGTAAGCATGTTTGAGAAACTGCAAGAGGAAGGTGCCAGGTGTACTCAATGCTACAGATCAGAAGCAGCATCTTCAGCAGGACGTTAGCTGTATAATAGTGTCTGAAACACGGGAACTTGCAAGACAATGGTCTCCCAATTAGTGGACATGACGGCTCGTCAGAGGTTATGCAGGAATAGATAGGTAATCAAATTCTAAGTCATCAGTGTTCATATATATAATTTTTCAAAAAATAAATTTGTATGAGAACTTGCCTGCTCATTCTCCTTTTCTACTTCCCCTTTCCTCATGTGTAGAAGCCTAGACATTTTTCAAAATACTGGCGTTTGTACTAAGAAAGTGGATAGCTCTAATTATTGGAAGCAAATTCTTTTGGACTTTTTTTTTTCCCAGCAAAATTGAGGAAGGACCTAAGTGGGCTACCAATTTAAAAGTATTTTTTAGGGGCAAATGGGTGGCTCAGTCAGCTAAGCATCTGGCTCTTGATTTCAGCTCAGGTCATGATTTCAGAGTCATGATACTGAACCCTGCATTGGGCTCCATACTGAGTGTAGAGCCTGCTTAAGATTCTCTCTCTTCCTCTCCCTCTGCCCCCCAAAATAATAATAATAATAATTAAAAATAAAAATAAATAAAAGTATATTTTAATGATACACCTTTGTGACTTGTGGACCACATCATTGGAGGTATTCAAACAGTGACGTTGCTACAACAAAACTCTGTTCCGATCTACCTATTTAGGTTAGGAAGGCTTCTTAGGTTAAATCTATAAAAATTAAATACAGGAATTGAATTAATGCTGAACCTTGTCACAACCTAGCAGTAAGATCCAGGGATACATAAACTAGAAAAACAATCAGTGTCATTAAGAGATGCATTTCCAATAAATTTACTTTGATGTGTAATAATTATTAAAATTTGTACTGTATTTCTATATTGTTTTACTTTAAAGATTTTATTTATTTGTTAGAGAGGGTGGGGAGAGGGTGAAAGCACACAAGCAGGGGGAGTGGCAGAGGGAGAAGCAGGCTTCCCGCTGAGCAGCGAGCCCGATGTGGGGCTCCATCCCAGGACGCTGGGATCATGACCTGAGCCGAAGGCAGACGCTTAACCGACTAAGCTACCCAGGTGCCCCTGTATATTGTTTTAATCAATTGTATAGTAATATTGGTAATGGTGACTCAATTCAGAAGGTTTTTTTAGAGAGGGAGTGGGGGAGAGGGGGAGGGAGGGGGAGGGAGGGGCAGGTTATAACAAGAAATACTGGGCTCTGTACATGTCACGAAAGACAAAATGTTTCTCCAATGTAAGACACTCTGGGGGCTAACTAAAGGGTTGGTCTGAGCTGTGTATAATCACTCTATTAACAGGACCTTTTTTCCCCCTCATGTTTATCAGCATTGGAGAAACTAATACAGAAAGGAAGACCAAGAAAAAAAGGTATGTGTGGCTTTAGAGTTTTATATGGATAATAAATAATACTAGTGGGAGGGATAGGAAGAGTGATTTAAAACAATAGTGATAAAGTTTGGATCTGAAGTCTCTCGTTTGTAATTCATGATTAAGTATCATCCTTATTTCCTGATATGTTCCTCTCATTACCTGAGTGGAACATACTACCTTCATTTCTCCTTTTTCTCCGACTTTCCAGAGGCTTTATACCTGGAAATAGTAAATAATTTCTCTTAAAAATCTCTCTTATTATATTAGAATAGGAAATATTATTAGACTGGTAAAAAAAAAAATTGTTGACCAGCTCTATCCGGTTCAAAGTAAAGATTATGAAACATTTACCATGCTACCTGAGATTTAAGTAAACCCAGTTGTTACACTGCAACTTTATTCTACCATTATTCATTCTGGAGCATAATAGAGTAGGAATGCTTAACTGCATCCAAGAGAGTTAAATTGCTAAAGTAGAAGACGTTGTGGTTGCCGCGGGATTTCTTCAGTTACGCAGTCCCCCGCAAGCAAAGCTTCACCGTGTGCATGTCGTTCGCCCATGCAGTTGCTTTTAACCATTCTGTTCCATGTCAGCTTCCCGTGCATATAACTAACTACTCGTTGTCTAATAGGTCTAAGAGTGTAACCAGTTCCAGTAGCAACAGCAGTGACAGTTCAGCCAGTGATTCCTCATCCGACAGTGAAGACACGTCTACCTCATCCTCCTCCGAGGACAGTGACACCGACGAAAGCTCCTCCAGTTCATCATCTTCATCCTCATCCACAAGCTCCTCCTCGTCCTCTGATTCAGACTCCGATTCCAGTTCTTCCAGCAGCAGCAGCACCAGCACGGAGAGCAGCTCTGAGGACGAGCCACCAAAGAAGAAGAAAAAGAAATAGAATTGCCCCATCGCCATTGGACTGCTGGACTGCAAACATTAATGTGATTCTCGCAAGGGAACTTAGAGTATGTTAAGGCCAAATAGATTAATCGGTCAAAATTTCTGGAGTTCAAAAGTTTCTAAGTGTTTTACATCATTAGAGCATAAAGAGTATTAATAATGGATTATATAAAAAATATATATGTGTGTGTGTGTATATATATGAAAGACTTTTTTTATTTTAAGGGTAAATCTTGTTTTTCTTTTTTATCTTTAATATATATCTCTAAAACTTAAAGCTGAATCCAGTAAATCTGTTTTGGGGATGAAACTTATCTTTTCTCCTTGTGAAATAAATGCCATACTTTGTTATTTGTTAGTGCTATGTATGTATCAGACATGTTTTCAGGATAATGCATCAGAATATCTGGCAGTGAATTTCTAATGCTTTTGGCTATGTGTTATTATATAAGATTTAATACATTGTTACTACAAAATTAGGAGCGTTCCTCTTAATAACTCTGCCCTATTTTTATGCTTATGTTCAGAAAGTTATTCTGACTTCTTGTCCTAAATGAAAAGCTCAAGAAACCTATTAATATCTTTATACGTTTTGGATGGTACAAATGTCAAGTTATTGTGTTATATCATTCATTTTCTTCTGGTTCTTAGAGTTACTCTTTTTTTTTTTCAAGTAGGCTCCACACCTGGCGTGGAGCCCACTGCGGGGCTTGAACTCACAACCCTGAGATCAAGACCTGCGCTGAGATCAAGAGTCCAATGCTTAACTGAATAAGGCACCCAGGTGTCCTGTAAAGTTACTCTTTTCTGAGGAAAATCAGTCTGGAGGAACCTAAAAAGGAACAAAAATTCTGAAACTACTTAGGAGTCTAATCTTGGTGCCTTTTGATAAATGCTATGTATCAGAAAAGAGTCATTTAAAAGCCTAACTTAAGGTAAAAGTGATATAAATATCTTTGTGTGTTATTACACTATAAAAGGTAGGAGAGGAAAAGAAAGGAAGAGAGGTAATTTTAACAGAAAATTAGGGCGATGTTCGTTGCCTTTTATTAAGCTTTTCTAAGCTTTCATAAAGATTGCCTTTTATCATTTTTGCAATTGTGGTATGATGGTTTATATGGCAGCTGGTCATATATGACACTCTACTGCGTAAATATAAATGACTTGGATTAATCTGGTGTGTTTACATAGCATATACACAGTTGAAATGTAGCATGAAAGATTAAAGAGAAATACTGCACAATGTTTCTTAAAAGTAAAATTCTCTGCTGTAGTGAAATTCTTTAGTTTCGCATGACATCATTCTGTGATGTCTTTTAAGCTTTTTGGAAAGAGGTATCATTTGTAGAAAAATCTTGATTTGGGCTAAGTAATGGGTTTTTAAAACTATGAATGTTGTCTTTTTTTATATTTTTATGAGAAAGTAGTAGAAAATTGCTTTTGAAAAAATGGGCTTCTATTTAACTGTTGAAATATACGTAATAAATATTGTAAGTTTGAGGAGCCTGTAATTCCTTGTATGTTTTATAGAACCATCCGCTTTCAGTGATTGTAAATAAACTCTCAAAACATCATTTCAGAGGCTCCATACAGAACATATCAATTGACAGGTAGATTTAATAAATATTTAGGACATATTTTACAACGTTGGTCATCTCCGTAAGGGTTTTTTTAGCAGTTAAAAAACCTGGAAGAGAAACGTGTACATAGGTTGCAACACTTGCAATTAAATAAAACTCATCATTTGTGCTCACAAGCTTAAGCATCTATTATCTCTTTGCTGTTTTAATACGAGCTCTTACTCCTTTTGAGGGTAAGGACATTTACGCAAATTCTAATTATTTTTACTATTCTCTTACAAGGTGTCCCCGGAGAAGTGCAGGAGGTAGGAATTCTATTCTTTTCTAGTCACACAGTTCAGTCATAACAGAATCAATGGCAAAGTAGAGTCTAACTTGCACAAAATTTTTCCCTGTCTTGCCAAAAAGCAAAAATGTGGAAGTTGAGTCCCCGGCAAATGTATTAAATGTCTTATTTCTCAACCACAAGCTTATCAAGAAAAGTCATTAGATCATAGGTTTTTATCCTAAAACATTTCATTAGTACTTTATCCTGCAATTAAAATATCGTTATAGGCCACACGTTTAGCCCTGGTAATGGAAAAAAAGTACAAAGAAGGTATACTTCATAGTTTTACTTATTCTTTTAACTTTTTATTTTGAACTGATTGTAGGTTTACAGAAAAATTGCAAAAATGTTAATGTTTCCATATATACCTCAACCAGCTTCTCCTTATGTTAGCATCTTCCATAACCATAGTTCACCAGCTTTCCCATTAATGTCCTTTTTCTGTTCCAGAATATTACCCAGAAAGCACAGTTACTTGTAAGTCTGCTACTGTCAATAACAGTTCCTTAGTCTTTCCTTGTCTCTCATGCCCGTATCACTTTGAAAGAATGTTAATCAGTTGTTTTGTTTGATGTCCCTCAGTTAGGGTTTATTTGGTGTTTCCTTGTGATTGAACTGAGGTCATATTTTCTGGAAGAATATGACAACAATGAAGCTGCGTCCTCCACGCTATCACAGGATTCCTAATGTCAGTGTGTCTTATTATTGGTTATGTTGACCTTGATTACTTGCTTAAGATGGTTTCTGTCACTTTTAAAGTTCCCTTTTTACTTAATAGGTACTTTGGGGGAGATGCTTTGAGACTATGCAAATAGTTGCTGCATACTCACCCTCTAGTTTTAGTGGGTCTCGTCTACAATTATTACTGTGATGTTTTGCAAGTGGTGATTTTCTGTTTTTTAAATAAATATTATTTTATTTTATTTATTTGACAGAGAGAGCACAGCGGGGGAGGGGCAGAGGGAGAGGGAGAAGCAGGCTCCCCGGCTGAGCAGGGAGTCCGATGTGGGGCTCGATCCCAGGACCCTGGGATCATGACCTGAGCCGAAGGCAGACGCTTAACGGCTGAGCCACCCAGGCACCGCACCACAGTTTCTGTTGTTGCTCAAGCTGTTCCACCTTTGGCTATGAGGAGAGCTCCTTCAGGATGACTCCTTTATTCTTTAAACAAATCCTCATCAGTTTTTTTGTGTTTGTTTTTTTAGTATTTCCTTACTTTCTGGAACCACAAGATGTGCCAGACTTCATGTTCCACGTTCAGGTCTCCCTGACCCATCTTTGGAACCAACCACATCTCCAAGGGGCCCTTCCTGGTTTTTAACTGAAGAATGGTGTTCATACCTCTGAAACAAATAATGCAATATATGTTAAGAAAAAAAAAGAAGAAGAAGGTAGCGGGAGGGGAAGAATGAAGCGGGGGAAATCGGAGGGTAGACGAACCATGAGAGACGATGGACTCTGAAAAACAAACAGGGTTCTAGAGGGGAGGGGGTGGGAGGATGGGTTGGCCTGGTGGTGGGTATTGAGGAGGGCACATTCTGCGTGGAGCACTGGGTGTTATGCACAAACAATGAATCATGGAACACTTCATCTACAACTAATGATGTAATGTATGGGGATTAACATAAGAATAAAAAAATAAATAAATATGAAGAATGGTGTTCAGAATCCAAGATCTGGGTGTCTTACTATGTTTTATGCATTTGAATAACAGTGTCCTAATGTAGTTAGACAAGGCATGGAGCCTTGCCATTAGCTGGAGGAAAGAAGGAGTTGTCACCTTCAACCTTTCTCATCTACCTTTACTTTTACAGGACTTCCTCAGAAGCAATGCTTTCTCTGACAACAGATGGATGAGGCAAAGTCTTTAATTAAAAATTGTCATCGGGGCACCTGGGTGGCTCAGTCAGTTGAGCGTCCTACTCTTGATTTCAGCTCAGGTCGTGATCTCAGGGTTATGGGAACAAGCCCCACGTCAAGCTCCAGGCTCAGCATGGAGTATGCCTGAGGTCTCTCTCCCTCTCCCTCTGCTCCTCCCCCACACTCAGGTTCTAAATAAATAAATAAAATAAATAATTTTTTTTTTTTAATTTGAGAGAGAGCACACAAGCAGGGTGGGGAGTGCAGAGGAATAGGGAGAGAGAATCTCAAGCAGACTCCCTGCTGAGCACAGAGCCCAACACAGGGCTTGATCTTAAGACCCTGAGAATACAACCTGAGTCAAAATCAAGAGTTGGCCGCTTAACTGACTGAGCCCCCCAGGGCTTAAAATCTTTTAAAAATTGTTATTATGGCCTCCTTTCCTCCACTATAATATATCTAAATTCAGAATGGGCCAAATAGCCATTTTCTGACACGAGACTCAGTTGGTGACAGAAAGAAAATGTCATATATGGGGGCGCCTGGGTGGCTCAGTTGGTTAAGCGACTGCCTTCAGCTCCAGTCATGATCCCAGGGTCCTGGGATCGAGCCCCGCATCAGGCTCCCTGCTCGGTGGGAAGCCTGCTTCTCTCTTTCCTACTCCCCCTGCTTGTGTTCCCTCTCTCGCTGTGCCTCTACCTCTCTCTGTCAAATAAATAAATAAAATCTTTAAAAAAAAAACAAGCAAATGTCATATATGCATATGACCATACTGCCCTACCTTGGATTATGGTGCCTTAATCGAAAGAAGTTGGCCCAAAGCACTATTTCCAATTGTAATTTTGTATGCTGCCCTGCAAGTTTTTACACCCTGGGCAAATTGTGCCATAAAAAGATTTAGATGTGGGGTGTGTGTGTGTGTGTGTGTGTGCGCACGTGCGTGCACATGCGTGTAATAAAGAGGGACAAATGCATGATATAAGAGGAAAAGCGAAAACAAAGCCAATATGGTACCCGGGCCGCAGACGTTCTTAGATGAATTTTTGGAGGGGGTACAGGTGGAAGTTGAAGACCTAGAAATTGCCAGTGTTCTTAAAAAGTCTTCCACGTACCTTCGAGGGTATTTGTGCTTGCTCTTCAAGGTCATTTGTAATATCAACCATGAACATGAGTAGAACACCTGTTTGGAAGGTACTGTACAACGATGTGTAAGTAACACTTCAACAGTGGTTTCCTTGGAGCTCACTATCTAGTTGGGGAGACCAGGCACGCACACAAACATCAGCAATGAAGAGGACTTTCAGTTAAATGTGGCAAATTGAACCCGTGTGTTCATTACCATTCCTCCTGAAATCCAACTAAAATGGCAGAGAAAACCAAACATAAACCCATAAGGCAAAGAGAAAAGGACAGGAGATGAAACACGAGAAATGACAGCTATTTTAGAAGCTCAAGTTGATGGAACAGTGGGTGCCCATGTAAACTAAGCAAGGCCAAGGTATATGCCAGCAGTGATGGAAAAGCAATATGAAGAAGCCGATTTGTGCCACAGAACTCTGGAAAGTGTCCAAACTTGGCACCATACACTTGCCAGCCAAGGTGCAGGGAAGGCTTAAAGACAAAAACACTGCTGGAAACTTGATGTAAAAATCTGCGCCTCTGTGGGGGCGCCTGGGTGGCTCTGTCAGTTAAGCGTCTGCCTTCAGCTCGGGTCATGGTTGCAGGGTCCTGGGATCGAGTCCCAGGTCGGACTCCCTGCTCAGTGGGGAACCTGCTTCTCTCACTCCCACTCCCCCTGCTTGTTCTCTCACATTCTCTCTCTCTCTCTCAAGTAAATAAATAAAATCTTGGGATGCCTGGGTGGCTCAGTCGTTAAGCATCTGCCTTCACCTCAGGTCATGATCCCAGAGTCCTGGGATCAAGCCCCGCATCAGGCTCCCTGCTCAGCCAGGAGCCTGCTTCTCCCTCTCCCACTCCACCTGCTTGTGTTCCCTCTCTAGCTGTCTCTCTCTGTCAAATAAATAAATTAAATCTTAAAAAAAAAATGAATAAAATCTTAAAAGAATGTGCACTTCTGTGCACTCCTGTTCATCTGTCCTAGTGGTTTGTTTCATATATAATCCCTTTACTGCAGGATTTTACAAATAAAGGGTAATGAGCATGTGTGTTCAATCTGCCCTGATTAAAGAGCATTATGTTAATTTAAAATTAGATAAAGGGGGCGCCTGGGTGGCTCAGTCGGTTAAGCGCTTGCCTTGGGCTCAGGTCATGATCTCAGGGTCTTCTACTCAAGCCCCACTTTGGGCTCCCCGCTCAGTGGGGAGTCTGCTTCTCCCTCTCTGCCCTTCCTCCCTGCTCATGCTCTCTCTCACTCTCTCAAATAAATAGAGTCTTTTAAAATAAATAAAGAAAAGGATGGCTTCTGTACTAGGCAAATCCATAATAAAATCTTGGATCACAAAACACATAAGCCAATGCCCTTAGATATTTGCACAATCCCTAACTAGTTAGCTGTCTTGAAGGGAATTATGAGTATGTGGACAAAGGAGAAAACGCTCATTCATGCAAAATTTAACAGCTATTGCTAAGTACCTGTCTCTGTCCTCCAAGAATTCACAGGCTATTAATACACAATTACAGATATTGCTTAAGTGATACAAAGAAGTTGCTGGAGAGCTTAGAGTCTGAAACAATTGCTAGGAAGAATTTGGATAATACGCCTTTCACAGGAGGTGTATTTGAGAAAGATTTGGTGGGTATGTTTGTGTGGGACACTGGCAGGGGAGAAAGGGATTGCTGTATTCCC